CTCGTCCGCCCTAGGTCGGCCATTCCGGCCATCGCGACCAAAATCCCGGCCATCGCGACCTACATCCCGGCCATCGCGACGAAAATCGGGGCGATTTCCGTTCGCAACTCGTGCCTTAGCTCGTACGTTCTCCTCTCCTGTGTGATTTTCCCTGCCATCCATTTCCCGTTGTTTTCCCTTTTCCTTTTCCCCAAAAGCCCTAAGTTCGGTCATTTCCTCCAAGTGGCGGCCGTCCTCGCCCACGCGTTCCACGGCTTCACGAATTAGTCCCAGATTTACTCCATTCTCGTCTTCCCGGACTCTCGCGATTCCCGATCGAGATACCTCCGCCGGCAGATCTGCCGTCGCCGCCGCCGACAACAGACGCATCTGTTCCTCCAGCAATCGGCGCAAGTCTGAAACGTTTTGGCTCATCCCAGCCATATTCTGGTTAGCCTCAACTCTACTTTGAGTTATTTCCGCCCTTACCTCGCCAATTTCCTTTTCCACCGACGTTTTTACTTGGTGAATCTCCCTCTCCACCGCCTCAAACCTCTCCTCTGTTTTCCTGGCAGCCATTATCGCCCAGAACAGGGATCTGATACCAAATTGATAAGCTCTGGTTTATTCGGTCAAGAACTAAGAAACTAATTGCACAATTCGAAAGAATGAGAAAGAATCAACGAAGGATATTATTGAAACAATGAGTATACACAGATCGGCAAAACTTCGAGGGTCTGCTTCCTCTCTTGCTTGGAATTGTTCCAAGACTTGTCCACTTTCTGTTTATTTCCCGATAACCGCTTTTCCCTCCTCTTTCCCCTTTTATACAATTTCCTCTCCTCACTCCCCCAAACTCCCCCCGTAAGCTAAACTAATATTTCCACTAAACTACTAACACCAAACTACCACAGCCAAACACTTGCCTGAGTAAGGGCTTATCAGCTGTCTACCCTTCACAATCAACCAATTCATTCGTTTCTTATGGAACCCTTGCAAGCATTTGGGAGTGGTGAGGGGGGGCACTCTTGGGACTTTAAATTCTCAAGGAATTTGACTGAAAGGGAAGTTGAGGAAGGTGTTAGAGCTTAGTTCTTTGTTGGATGGAGTCCATCTCTGGGGGGTTTGGGGTGGGGGGGAACTAATGACACAAGGTTTTGGGATTTATATAGTTCTGGTTTATTCTCTGTTAAATCATACTTCTCCTTTTTAGTTGAAGCCCCTAATTATTCTCTTTTTAAACAATTTGATTTTATCTGGAAAACCCGTTTTCCTTCTAATGTTCAAGTATTTTGTTGGCTTTTGGTTCTCGACAAGTTGAATACTCATGATTTACTGCAGTGTAGGAAGCCATATATTTTGCTTTCCCCAGGCTGGTGCATATTGTGCAAAAATAGTGAAGAATCTGCCGATCATCTCTTCTTGCGTTGTCCTTTTTCATACAGCATATGGTGTTCATTACCAAAAGAAATAGGGATTTCATGGGTAACTCCAAGAAGTTGCAAAGAGTTATGTGACTCCCATTTTTGGTCCGAATATAATAGCAAAATGAAACTCCTTGGGAAGTCAGCGGTGTTGGTCTGCTTGTGGGGAATTTGGTTGGAAAGGAACCCTAGAGTGTTTGAGGATCGCTTTAGTAGTTTGGGATAAGATTAAATATTGGACAGCTTTATGGATTCATTTAAATAAGGAATTTTGCAATTGTTTACTTTCTGATCTAGTCAGAAATTGGTCCCTGTTCTTGTAATTTTGTTTTAGTTTTTCTTCGTTTTTTGTCTTTAGAGGAGACCTCCTCCTCTTCTCTTTGTACTTTTTTCCCCTTTTTAATAAAGATTCTTGTTTCAAAAAAAAAAAAAAAGCATGATCATGAACAATATAAACCCTAGAGTGCCAACTCTCTAAAATCTCAATTCAAGCATAAGGAGATATTTTTTAGATCACTAATTTATGTACATAGGATGATCATGAACAATAATGCAAAAAAAAAAAAAAAAATAATAATGGATAGCTCATCCATCTTGTTTTGTACGTTTTCTCTTTCAATTTCAATTGAATTTTTCTTTGTTTCAAAACCTCCTTTGGGGCTATTGATTTGTACTTTTTATCTCCTTTAGTTCTTTCCGTTATGCTGGGTAAATATGGACTTTTTATCTCCTTGAATATGGTCATATGTTTGATGAACACCTGCACATCCTTTTGTGCTTGTGGCAAATGCTTCCTATAAAGCTTTGCTCATCTCTTTGTTTCCTGGTAAGCATTTTTGCTTTTGGTGGCTGTTTTCTGCTTCTTGTTTGATCATTCTTCTTTTAATGCAGCCTCTGGATGTTATACTCTCTCAAGATCGTAACCAAATTGTAGCTCTTTTGGAGTATGCCAGATACGATTTTCGACCACAAATTCAGCAATCCTCTATCAAAATCATGAGTATATTAAGGTACCATCTTGTCTTTTGTTCTGTCCTTCATTCTCTTTATTTCTGTCTCATGAGGTTTTTTTCTGCTTAAAGTTATAAGCTTTTCAGTTATCTTGCAACTTTTTGTGGCATCACATTTTTCAGCACTATGCATGTAAAGAAACAGAAAAATTATTATTTTTTATTTTTAGTATGTAAAGAAAGTACAAGCAAAAATAAAAAGGGCAGTAAGATGTTCTCCACGAAAAGAAAGAAACAAAAAACCATTAGCAAAAACAAAAACCAATTATTAGTAAAACGGAAATTACAACAGCCTTCTAATTGTAACGAATTAAAGAGTTGAGGATACAACCTTTCTTTTGAGGTATTTAAACATTTTGTAAAAATCAAATCTAAAAAATGGAGAATTCTCTCTCCCATTGTCCTCTCAAATATCATAATTAAATTTGCTATGATATAATGTATTTGCAAAAAGCACAAATGATAAATTTTATAAAATTGGTAAACAGTTCTCGCATGGTTGGGCTTGTACAACTACTGCTTAAATCCAATGCTGCAAACTGTTTGGTTGAGGATTATGCTGCCTGCCTTGTGTTAAGATCGGAAGATTGAGAACAGTAGTGATGATCCGGGAGTTCTTATATTGCAGGTCAGTCCTGGTAGTTGCTATCGTCTTCTTTCATCTTTGAAGTTTGAAACGTTCTTTATGTTTCTATTTTTTCCCTTCATATTTTGCAGCTTCTGATAGACAATATTAGTCGTCCTGCTCCAAATGTTACGCATTTGCTACTCAAGTTTGATCTTGACACCAATATCGAGCGTACTGTTTTGCAACCAAAGTTTCACTACAGGTTAAGTTTTGCAACCTTCTTGGTATGTTCAGTCATTTTTTTTCCCTCATTTTTTCTTTGCATTCAATTGAGCATAAACTATCCATTTTCAGTTGCTTAAAGGTTGTTCTTGAAATATTGGAGAAGCTTTCGAAGCCTGATGTGAATGCATTGCTTCATGAATTTGGCTTTCAGGTTAGAAAAAATGTTACGTGATACTTTATGAAAGAAAATTTTAGTACTATAAATGACATTTTTCTTTGGGATCCATCTCTTCTTGTTCTGTTTCGTTTCTTTTGTTTTTTTGGATGTATAGCCACTTCAATTTGAGAGATTTTTTTAATCATAAATTTGCAGCTTCTTCATGAGTTATGCTTGGATCCACTAACATGCGGTCCCGCCATGGACCTGTTGAGCAATAAGAAGTATCGGTTTTTCGTTAGGGTAAAATTTAAAAAATTTCATGTTGCATATATATATATTTACTTATGTTTTATTTTTCCCCTTTTTTTTTCCCCAAAAAAGGGGAAGAAAAAGCAATCTTGTTCTGTTAGTTTCCTTGTGAATATCTATTATTGCTTTCCATCATGACAGCACTTGGATACTGTCGGGGTTGCTCCACTTCCTAAACGTAGTGGCAATCAGGCACTTCGTATTAGTTCCCTTCATCAGGTTTCTCTCTCTCTTTGCAATCCTTTCATAAGCTCTTCTGATATATTTTGTTGAAATGATTTTGCCATTGCACCGCTTGCATCCATGAGTTGAGCTTTACAAAGTTCTCTTTGAGTACTCTGGACAGCTTAAGGGGTTTAGTCATTATGCATTGCCACGTCTTTTTGGTGCATAATATTTCAGAACTCTATTGAATGTCTCAGCTTGCTGTCTTAGCAATATTTTGGGGGATATGGTTGGAAAGGAACCTTAGAATTTTGGGGATAGCGAGGAAGAAAGTGCTGTTGGTTTGGATTAAAAAAAAAAAATTTTGGGTAGACATTTGGGCCTATCAAGATAAGGTTTTTAGTAGTCTGCTTTTTTATGATGTAGTCAGGAGTTGGGCTCCACTGTAAATCCCTCATTCTCATCACCTTGTATTGAATCTTTTTTATTCAATAAAGGTTTTTGTTTATTATAAAAAAAAAAGGTTAGAAATACAAGCATGATATGTTGAACACTGAGTATTATGAGGACTTTGGACTGGATGGCAGTGTTGTCGAGATAAGTTTGCAATGCCCAAATGTTGTTTGACGTCAGTTAAAGCTTTGGGAGTCATGTTAATATTTTATTGATGCATTATATTGCTGACTGTGCAGATTTACGTGAAACTGTGTTGAATATTCTAGTTTGCTATGTCACCTTTGTTCTGCATTTAAGTACATCAAGACCTGCTAGGAAGAGACATAATAAATAAAAATAAATCAAGACTCCACTATTTTAAAGTGCGATTGATTTTCATCATGAGTTGGGTTATTTATACTGCATCCTTTGAATAGTTGGAGCCTTATTTATGTATTTCTATTTTGCAAATAGTATAATGACATTTGTTGGGCTCTGCACATGAGTGGAGTTTTAAAGCCCGTTTGGTTGGAGGATTCGATATCTGATTCGAATTATGGTTTATGGTTCGTTACAGTATTTTCTCTCACAAAAACTACACGTAAATCGAAAATAGTTCTAATCTCATAGTTTTAATCCATGAACCAAACGGGCTCTTAGATTGCCTTGGAGTTTGTAGTTTTCTACTTTCAGATGTTATTAGAAGTTGGGCTCCTTTTTTGTAATTCCTTTTAATTTGTCTTTAGAGGAAAACTCTTCCTCTTTAGCTTGTACTCTTATTTTTAATAATAGGTTCCTGTTTCTCAAAAAATAAAAAAAAAAATAAAAAGAGGGATTGGTAGATGATACACTTTATCATTTATTGGTTAGATATCATTTCAAATCGAATTTTCTTTTGCTTACCAATGTCAGAGGGCATGGCTGCTGAAACTTCTGGCAATCGAATTGCATGCTGGTGATATGAGTAGCTCCTCACACCGGGAGGCATGTCAAAGTATTCTCGCTCATCTTATTGGGCAGGAAATTATTGGAATCGGAGCAGATCACAGCATATCACAATGCCATGCACTCCAAAATAGTGCAGAGGCTGCTGGAACTAGAAGTATCAATAAGAGTAAGGTATACTTCTTGCCTGAATTTTTGTAGTTTCTTATATTTGCAGTCTTTGGTTAATGGATGACCTTTTTCTCACTTATTCTCTGCTGCTTTTTTTTTTTTTTTTTTTTTTTTTTTT